GGCTGCCCCCACCACTGTCTACACTGACTCCCCAAGGCACTGTAGGCATTGCTTCCTTCATCTGCACTGGCTCCCCTGACTCCTGTCTACACGACCCACCTCCATTGTCTGCACCAGCTCGCCTGGGCCATAAACAGCACTGTCCCTATTGCCTACACCAGTTTACTCGGGCCATAGTCAATGCTGGTACCCAGATTGTCTGCCCTGGCTCTTCTAGCCACTGTCTGCACGGATACCCCACACTCTGTTGACTCCCTTGAGCACAGTCTACACTGCCCCCAAACTGCCTGCACCTGCTTCCCCAGGCAACTATCCACAATGACTTTCCCCACATTGCTACACTGGTTCTCCTGGCCACAATCAGCACTGCCGCCCTTCTTGTCTACACCCACTCCCTTGTCCATTTCTTTCTTTCTTTCTTTTTTTTTTTTTTGAAATAAAGTCTCACTCTGTCACCCAGGCTGGAGTACAGTGGCACAGTCTTGGCTCATTGTAACCTCTGCCTCCCAAGTTCAGGTGGTTCTCCTACCTCAGCCTCCCAAATAGCTGGGATTACAGGTACATGCCACCACACCTGTCTAATTTTTGTATTTCTAATAGAGACAAGGTTTCACCATGTTGGCCAGGCTGTTCTCAAACTCCTGACCTCAGGTGATCTGCCTGCCTCGGCCTCCCAAAGTGTGCTGGAATTACAGGCATGAGCCACCATGCCCGGCCTTTTTTTTTTTTTCCTTTGGACAGGGTCTCACTCTGTCACCCAGGCTGGAGTGTAGGGGCATGAGCATGGCTCCTACAGCCTCAACCTTCCAGGCTCAAGTGATCCTCCCCCCTCAGCCTCCCAAGTAACTGGGACTACAGGTACAGCCACCATGCCCAGCTAATTTTACAATTTTTTGTAGAGAGAGTTTTGCTATGTTGCCCAGGCTGGTCTCAAACTCCTAGGCTCAAGTGATCCTCCCACCCCAGTCTCCCGAAGTGCTGAGATTACAGGCGTGAGCCACTGCACCTGGCCTCTTGTCCATTTTCTACACTGCCTTACCATTGTCTACATTGGCTCTTCTGGGCCACAGACAGCACTATCCCCATTGTCTACACCAGCTATTTCGGCCATCAGCTGTGGGGTGTTTTCACGGTCTCACATGGTGTCTACACTGGCTCCTGTGACCACTGTCTACATAAACACCCCACTTTTTCTACACTGGTTCTCCTAGGCACTCTCTAAAGTGCCCCTCGACACTGTCTACACTGACTCCCTGGAGAACTGTCTGCATTCACCTCCCACATTGTATCGACCAGTTCCCCTGAGCCAGGATCGACCATCTCTGCCAGGTGCTGGCTGCATTGATCTTCCCACGTTGTTTGTGCTGGCTCCCCTCAGCAGTGTCTGCAGAGTCCCCCAGTGTAGTCTCCATGCTCCTCTGCCCAGTGTTGTCTACACTGGCTCACTTACAGGCTGTTGAGTCTCGCCCCACATCACCACACTGGCCTCCTTGTGTTCTGTCTGCACAGCCCCTGACAGCATCTGTGCTGGTTCTCCTGCACAGCGTTACCTCCAGCAGCTCCCTCACGGCGTCATCAACATTGACACCCACACATTTATCTCCACTGACAGCCCCAGGGACTCTCTAACCAGTGCTGTCTAACAGAAATAGCACGCAAGCTGCATATAGGATTTTTAATTCTCCAGCAGCCACCCCATTAAAAAGTTAAAAGAAAGAGACCAGGCACGGTGGCTCACGCCAGCACTTTGGGAGGCTGAGGCAGGTGGCTCACCTGAGGTCAGGCATTCCAGACCAGCCTGACCTCAAGTGAGCCACCTGCCTCAGCTAATTTTTGTATTTGTAGCAGAGATGGGGTTTCACCATGTTGGCCAGGCTGGTCTCAAAAAATGCAAAAATTAGCCAGGCATGGTGACAGGTGCCTATAATCCCAGCTACTCGGGAGGCTGAGGCAGGAGAATTGCTAGAACCTGGGAGGCCAAGGTTGCAGTGAGCAAGATCGCGCCATTGCACTCCAGCCTGGGCAATAGAGCAAGACTCTGTCTCAAAATCAAAAAAAGAAAAGAAAGAGATGAAATGTATTTGTTTATTTATTTATCTATTTATTTATTTGAGGCGGGGTCTTACTGTGTCACCCAGACTGGAGTGCGGTGGCACAGCTCACTGCAGCCTCAATCTCTTGGTCTTAATTGATCCTCCCACCTCAGCCTCAGTCTCCTGAGTAGCTGGGACTACAGGCATGTGACACCATGCCCAGCTAATTTTCGTGTGTGTGTGTGTGTGTGTGTGTG